AGGGAAGCACTTGACCCTGCCTGTGTTTAACATAATGATAAGGATCTTCGGGAGGCTCCATCAGCACCGATATCTTAATTCCAGCAGCTCCTCTGCTCCCTSTTTGAACTCAGCACAGCACAGCAAAAGCGCTGAGACCACGAACACCGCTGACAGGGGGAAAAAAAAAGATTAATTTGGAGATGTTCTGGAGGGATAAGCTGCAGGATTAATGACTCCCGGGGGAAGAAAAGAGTAGTGAGAAGGAGGAGGAGAAAAGGCAGCATGGCTGTGTGACGACAGCAGRAGCGAAAGGAGACAGCGGGGGACGCAGGTGACCCTCCCTGGGGCTCAGCAGCCTTCACTCCTGCTGGATCTCAGGCAATGCCCCCTAAAGTGATATTTGAAGTATGCGAGCACTCCGGAAATTCAGAAATATCTTTCATTTTTTTCTCAGAAAAGAATGGATTTTAAGCCTTCAGGTCTAAGTGGCGTCTGAATATGTAGCCCCAGATCTAAATGTGAGCTTGAAAATCATCCTCTAGGTTATCTGGGAACATCAAATGAACTGATGCTCATCACTCACTCTAAAAACATGGAGAAAGGGTCTTCAGTGGCAAACACAAGATGAATAGCAGTAGAAATGAAGGAAATCTGCTTTGCTTCRGAGTTGAACAAGGATTCCCAGTGTTTTCCAAGGCATCTCAGCAGAGGAGCAGGCTCTTTCCATACACAACTATCTCRAGTAAAGGGCTGCAATTCACGTACACAAGACACGTGCCGGCTGAAGCCCACCATGCAGCCCACCCGCACTGCTCAAAGTGGTCCCAGCTCCTGTAGCTGCTGCTTGCTATTTCAAACATGTAGCAGGCTGTTTTCCAGGTTCTCGGGATGCAAGAACAGTCGGGTCAGAAGAGCTGCARCCTTTTGGAGAACTCACAACCTGCCATTTGTTGTGCTGACAGTGCCCAGGCATCAGGCTGAGCACAGTCCAGGTACAACAGGGCACAAGGGGAAAAAAACAAGCATTTAAGATGTATTTTCTTGCCACAAAGATTTGCAAGCAAACTCTCCCACGAGTGCTGCAATTCCGGGCTGCCTTYGGTGGTTGGGATCTACTGGATCTTTTCAGCAATTCGTTACCCACAGAGCATCATTTAACCCATCTAGGAGCAGCCGGCACCAGCAGCAGGCAGGAGCCAGGACTTTGCTCCGAGCAGGCCCACCTGGAAGCAGGACAATAGCTTCAAACCCGGAGATGCCTGGAGGTCTCTTCCCTCTTGCTGGTGCAATGAGCTTGCAAGGAAAACTGAGGGTGAAGAGAAGCAGGGGCAGGAATGTTTTTTTCTCAGTCATCTGAACAGGACTGAAAGCAAACACGGGACTCGTGACGCCTGCAGGAATTAGGAGATATTACTGCATATTACACAGGYACATCCTGTAAAGAAACCTCAGGCTCTTCAGTCAGCCTGACAGCTCCTGTCCRCAGCACTCGTTGCTATTAAACCCATGGAGAATTGCTCAGAAATAACAGTAATTCTGCAACAGAACTGGACAGCCAACTGCTACAGCATCCCACAGGCTTCAGCTGGGTGACGTTCTTCAGATTAGCTGCTGTGTCCGCATCGCCTTTCTGGGAGCGTCTTCCTCCGTGAGCCACCCTCTTTTGGGAAAGGTCTTTCCAAGCACCTGGTTTTCACTGGTTTTRTTTGTTTGTTTGTTATTGTTACTTTTGTGTGTGTTTTTTAAAGGCAGGTGCCTCTTGTTGAGGTGGGTAAGAGCTACCAGGTAAGGAAGAGGGCCCAGGGGCAGCAGCCAGGCTGGCTGCAGGGCTGCCCAGCCTCTCCACCAGTGCAAGCAGCCACCACCACGTRCTCCTTTACCACCTTACTCAGGTTTGGTTTACTCCAAATCCTCTATTCAAAACCAGAGCAGGGTTCAGCTTCATTGAGATCATCCTTCCTCCATCCTTTTCCACTCTCCTTCCTTCGCTTCTCTTGTAAAGCAACATCAAATAAACCAGAGCTGCAGTTGACAGAAACTCACTGTTGCTTAGATTTTTACCTTACATCTTAACAAACCAAACAGCGACTTCCACCAGAAACTGGCCGTGGGTTTTCTCATGTCTCCTTGTGTAGACTAGCTGATATTTTGCTTTCTCCTGGACCCACAGCAATCCGTGAGCATACACTGAAGAATTGCGTATCCTGGCAGGACGGATGCTGCAAGGACAAACGCAGCGGGACCGGCAGGATCCAGCCAGACGCAGTGGTGTTTACATGTCCCACCAGCACGGGCACCTTTTTTTGCAGCATGTAGCGTCCATCAGAGAAGCAGCAAGTTCATTAAACTGCCGCCCCGGCCTGGCTGGCAGTAACTGCAGCTGCCTTCAAAATCAGCTCCAATTGGGACTCCTTCGGTACGGAGCAAAGCGGACTGCAGGAAGGGAAAGGGCTGGTCAGTGCGCGCTCCGAGCAGCCAGACAGCATCGCGAGCAGCTGAATCCTCAATCTGGTCCCGTTTTGCTCTGCTTCAGCCTCTTCCAAAGGCACATCCACGCGGCCAAGTCACATGAGACTGGTACTTTTTGCCAACAAAACCCCTGGATTGGGGCTCCCGGGGGCAGCGAGCCAGTGCAGACGCTGCTCCTTGGCGTGACCCAAGCGCTTCCGCCTTCTCCTGCACTGCTTGGATGCGGCTCCCGGCCGCTCTGCAGCCCCTCGGCCGAGTTACCACCTTTGTGCAGGGGCCGGGCCCTCCCRAAAGAGCCTCCCGCGGGTCTCCAAGACGATGGAAAGGGAAGGAACAAATGTGCTTTAAGCAGCTCATGGGCAACATAACTCATCCCGTGGACTTCCGTGGCCTGCATCCAGCCAGCGGGCCAGGGAACGGWGCCACTCAACAAACACATCCCCAATTCGGCCCTAACCGTGAAGCAGCTCCCATATTCCAGGACTCTGAAGTTCAAGCTGATCTATCTTCACCCAGCAGATCTATCCCGGGCTGCTCATGGCTCCTTTGTCCCTCCTGCCTCGCCTGCTCCTTTTGGGAAGGCAGCAAAGGGTGTTATTCACCCCTGCCCCGTTGACAACACACGTTCCACACTCGTTGTCGCTCGCTGAGAATTTCCWGCTGGCACCGGTGACAGACCAGCTGCTGGCGGCTGCCACGCTGTCCCCAACACAGGGAGACTCTGCGCTCGAGCCCGCCGTTCCGCTCCCGTCCTGAGCTACAACACCCTGCGGACCCTCCACGCCACGGGACCAGGTCCAAATGGCACCAGAGGTTGTCTAGTCTGCCTGGAGTGACTGGTTGAGCAGGTGTAGTGGGAAGGGCTCTGTCAACAGGAGGAAATGGTGGATGGACCAACATCCCAGCCCTTACGCTGTTGAGCACCTCCTGCCCTTCCCTTTGGAGGCTGCAGCCACCGCAAACCAAAGCTCTGGCCCTCAAAAGATGAAGGACTTTCCAATCCCCATCATCTGCAAGGCTCCAAGCACCCACTGCGGCTTTGGGAAGAGGGCTCCTCCACCTCCTCCTGCTCCACATGCTTCATGGAGATCAAGAATGCAGACGRAAAAACATCAAAAAAGAGAACAACGCATGCAGAGGGTTGCCACTCACTGGGAGGGTTGCATAGCCAAGACACTGGGCATGAATTAAGTAAGTCTGGAGGATGCATTTCTGTCCGAGTGCTGGAACGTCTTCTGTATCCTCAATTATTTGGGGAGGCTCAGGAGCTGCCTGTGTATACAACCCTTGGCAGCAAAAACCACAGCTCACTAAGGTGCCACTTCTAGAGAGGAGCAGCGCTTTCCTGAGAGCAGGCAAGAGGCTCAGGGGAAAGCAGGGATGCCAGGTGAAGTCACTGCCAGCGACTGTCCAAGGAGGGGACAATGGCTTTGCCTTCTTTGGAGGCAGGCAGCTATCTACTTCCCTGCATTTCGCTCCATTTATTATGAAAGCACTAACATTTTCAATGCTGGCATGGCACAGCTCACCCCGGCGCCTCGTCTCCCTGCAGGGGACATGCACAGTCTGCACAACAACGTGGCAGGGAGRGTATGGAGGAGCAGGAATGTTTGTTCCTTTCTGGGATCTCAACTTCCATCCTGAGCCTCAGTCCACTGCACCTCAGCCCAGGGGAGCTGTTGTTCGAACAGGGTGGTCAAGCACAGGAGGGACAGCATGGAAATCCTCTCCTGGGATCTCTCCGGAGAGGAATGGACAGGGAGAGAAATGGCAGCAAATCCCATCGGCAGCACAAGATCCGGCTCCCGGCTGCGCAATGCCCGATCCAGACAGGACACTGAGCAAAATGCTGGAGTAAGAAACATTCTGCAAATGAAAAACTTAGAACACTTGGCACAAAAATGAGGGTAAATACAAAAGCAGGATCTATTAATGAGTCAGATCCCCTTTTCACATGCTTCTGTCGCACAGGTGAACGACAGCTCATGTTTTATGAAAGAGGCAAAGCAAGACACACCAAGTTTAGTCATTTAAACAAAACAAGCAATCATACACCCCCCATAGCCATTACTGCAATGAAAGATAAAAAGCATCAAAAAACATCTGAATGTGCTTGAAGAGTTATGGTGCCTTGCTTCTTGGCAGAGCCAAACCATGGACTAACAGCCAGGAAATACCTCCTGATTTAGGAAAAAAAGCAGGACCTTTAAGTTCAGGAACAGCAAGAGCCTGASCAGCTTTTAGAGGTGCCCTGAAGAGGCTCAGGGAAGAGGTTCTCCTGAGAGCAAACACTGGTGCTGTCGCTGCTGTCCCACGTGTGCCAGGGGGGTGAGCAAGCACCCACGCGGGCAGGCAGCACCCAGCTTCCAGGGCAGCGTTAAACGAGGAGCCAGCCAGGGCTCTGCAGTGTAGGTGGCTGCAATCAGGACCCAGCACAGGAGAGCCCAGCTGGCTCCTCGCACAGCAGTGAGCGAGAGCAGCCCAGCCATCCCACTGCAACGTCTGCCCATCCTGAAGAGAAACAAGCCCGGTGAGTCTGTGCCACGTACCTTGTGGGAGTAATGCTGATCCACAATCCTGGCTAGCCCGAAGTCGCCGATCTTCAACACGAGGTCCTCCGTGCTGATGAAAATATTGGCTGGCTTCAGGTCTCTGTGCAGCACGTTGGCCGAGTGGATGTACTTCAGCCCGCGGAGCAGCTGGTACATGAAGAGCTTGGCATGCTCCTCCGTGAGCTTGCCCTGCTCCAGCAGCCGCGCCAGGTCTGTCTCCATGTACTCCTGAACGATGTACACCACGTTAAACTTGAAAAAGTCCCCGTGCAGCTTGGTGCCCTTGGGCCCCAGCACCTCGTAGACCCGCACGATGTTGTCGTGCTCGAGCCTGCGGATGATTTTGATCTCCCGGAAGGCGTGTTTGAGGCTCCGCGCGTCGCTGATGGTGATCTTCTTCACGGCCACCTTGCGGCAGCTCTTGCTGTCGAGGGCTGACAGCACCAGTCCGTTYGCCCCAAAGCCCAAGGGGCGGAAGTTAACGAAGCGGCAGCCCAGATCGTAGCCGTACATGCTGGCAATGCAGTCGCACTTCTCTGCCATCGCGGGCTTGCTCGTCTTCCGGCTTTGCTGCTTCGTCACTTGAACAACTGGGAGAGTCGAAGAATTTCCAGATCACAAATGTGTTTTGAAAGAAAGCGAGTCATTATTACTCACAGATGCTTGGGGGATTTCTTCCTCCGAGCCCATGGTTACAAGATGAGAAGGTTTCTGACATGCAGACACACTAAAAATAGATGTGAACACACACACATACACACAAATAAAATGTTTTAAGTGGGAGAAGGAAGCAAGGGGTAGAGGAGGCTTTCCAAGCAGCGCGGGTATTTCAAAGGCAGCGAAGCAGCAGCGCTGTCACAACGCAGAGAGGTGATTTTCCTTGTTGCTAAGATCATCACTACTAAGTTTTCCAGGTGCTTTCATTTCCTTCCCTGAAGTCTCCAGGACGATGCTGAAGCGACGGGCTCGCTCGGGCCGGGACGCGCAGCAGCAGCGGGGCAGAGCCCCGGGCCGCCCCATAGCCCCTGGCTGCCCCGGCCGCCTTTGCTCCCGCGGGGTGCGACAGCGTTGCAGGGAATCGCATCCAGGGCTGGATCCTCAGCAGTCAGCAGGGCTCTGCTGTCCTTACCGCCCCCCTTTCCTTGAGCACGGACCCCATTTCCTGCCGGCCGCTTTTCGGACTGACACTCACTGTCTACGAGCTGTGCTCAGCGCCGCAGGCTGCCACGTGCGCGATGCCGACACTTGGCCCTTGCATGTCTGCCGTGCGGGATGCCGAGCGCGGCGCAGCCTTCGGAGCCGGGTGGAAGCGGGATCGCCGGAGGGCCGCCCCGCATCGTGCCGTCCCGCGGGTCCTCAGCAGGCCTCGGCCCGGGTGCTGCAAGAGGAGCAGACATCAGCTCAGGTGGTAATGACACTGGATYCGCGCTCCCCTTCCTTCCCCCAGGCTCAATGCCCGCAAATCGGGACCTTTTGGTAGCTCATTAGTTTTGCTCTCTAAACACAGGCATCTTCCAGGGGCCAATCTTCCCTTTTTGCGTTGAAATGCAAATGGATAATGCTTGCTTTCTGTTTTGCCCCCTTTTTTTTTTTTTAATTTAATTTGTTTGCATGTTTTATGAGGCAATCTGCAGAAGGCTGAGGTTGCCTAACACACATACGTCCCCAGCTGCCTGCTTAGCCCAGACACTCAACGCGTCCCCAACGAAGCAACGTTAGCAGCAYGAGGGGTGCAAGCCCCAGAGGGAAACCTAGGCCTCGGCCTTCTTCAGTTTGCCWTTAATGCAATTTGGGCCTAAAAACAACAAAACAAATTTTCCAATTAGCTTTTTTTCCCCTCTTTTGTAGGTAAATGCAAGGGGAAAGTGTCCCCAACCAGCAAGTGACTCGCACCCGCACTGTGCCACTTTCTGAGAGATTTACTAGCAGCAGCTCGACTCAGGTGAGAGTCAGAGGGCTTGACACCCCCCAGGTGAAAGGTCCTACCGTGAAGCTCAGCATCAGCCCAGCCCCTGCATCACACCTAGAAACCACCTGCTTTTAGTGCAGGTATAGAAAACAAAGAAAGCATCATGTGTTGATGAGAGGACGGTGCAAGAGCAGCCTAACAACACAGCCTGTTTCCTTGTGGACACGCTGTGTTCCTGGCACACGAGGAGAGCGGCTTCATGAAGATGGGTGATGTGCATCATCACATGCCTTTAAAAGGCTGGAAGCATGGACAGAGATGACCGGATAAYGGGGATTCAACGCCGTTGGCGGAGGTTAAGTGCAGACAACCGGGGGCGACCCCTCTGCAGGGTGCCAGCTTCAGCCCAGGGCCAGGACAACARCCCTCAGGTTGCTTCTAAGAGACCAGTGTTTGACATACACAAGTTCATCCGTACACCTGCTGGATACCTTAAGACAAAGATTTCTGTTTCAGCCCTCCCCTTCTGACCTCCTTCTCCATGACAAGAGTCTGAATCATGACAACAGCCTCAGAAACCCACCCCAAACCCAGAAAATCCATTGGTGCTTTATTTGGGGATAGATTCTTGGCAATTGCTAAGCACAGTAGGTGACATGACACTGATGGCCTCCAAGTATCATAAGAATTCCCCCCTCCCCCCAAAAAAAAAAGCCCACGTTGCACATAATTAACTAAGCAATCATACTCACGAGCTTGTCTCTCTAGCTAGACCATAAATCTCCAGGCATACACTGGGCAACCTTAAAAATCAGTCTTCTTCACAAAGACGGGGCTGCCCTGGCAGAGCTCCACAGCGAGGAAGGGACAGTTTGCCTAGTTATTTGGATCATTTTCAGGTGCTCTTGAAGTTTCTGCTTCTGACCWGAGACCTCTGCAGCCCAGATCTCAAGAGCACCAGGTATTTGTGGAGGAGAAAGTGCTCAGCTCCTCAAATCCCTGTCCTTGGATGTCTCCAGGGGTCTGTTCCCAGACTCAGAAGCAGGCAAGTGGCCAAAGCTTGGGAGAAGTGGCCAGAGCTTCCACACCAAGAGGTCCCCAGGCTGGTGATGCCTGCAAGGCCACGGCAGTGGCTAGGTCCAGGGGCCGGGGGTAACATTCCCAAGGGTGGTGGATGTGGGAAGTCGGTCTTTGCAGAAACGTGGGACTCACTTCCCTGGATAACTCTGCTCCCCAGAGCAGGGCAAAACAGGGAAGTTCTGCTTTGCTGCTAAGCTCTGCTTTGCTGTTAAGCTCCCACGCGGTGCCTGCTGCCGCTTCCCAGAGATCCTGCCCGGTTCACTCCTGGAGCAGCCAGGAACCAGACCTCAAAGTCTGCACGAAAGCAGAATAAGTGCATTGATGCCAATAGGGCAGGCACCACTTTGGGAACATTCACCTGAAAATCCAGTTAATAAACTCCAATTTGTGCCCATGTTCCTAATTTTAGCTACATTTATAATTCCCAAGTCAGGCATTTGCTTGTGCTCTACCAATGGAGAGTGCTCTACTCACCTCCCACGYTTCCACCCTCAGCTTCCTAAGGCCTAATAACAGGGGGACTTCCATGCTGGAAGGGAGATCCCTTCCATCCYCGACAACAAGCTCAACAAGAGCGAGGGGAGCCAAAGCAACGGAGTCAAACTGTGGGGTGATCCTTAGAGCACTCCTTCCCGCGCCTCCCATGATGAATCTTCACGAGGCTTCTTGCACAATGAAGACATTTCTCCTGTTAGTTTTTGATACATAATGATGTGTCAGCCTTTTTAAAAAAAGCCTCGGGAACAAAAGAAGCAAAAAAATCATTAAAATGGAAATAAATAAATAAAAGATCCAAGGCCCTGCAACCTGGCTGGCAAGGAACTGCCAAGGCTTCCAAGAAAAGCCTTAAGAAGCGCTCCTGGTTCAACCCTCACGTTTTGGATAACCCCTCCGAAGCAAAGGGAGGGTATTTGGACACTTTGCTTTCACTACCACAGCCCTGCTGTTAAGTGCAGCCTAAACACAGAGCAGGCTCTGAGCACCCCTGGATCAGGCTGCTGGGGAGGCATGATAGGGTTCACCCAGATGATCAGTCTTTAGCCCAGTAAAGAGGTAAGAAGCCACCTACAAGTTACAGCAACCCAGGCCCCATCTGCCTCTGCATCCTCCCTTCAGCTCCCCCGAGTGACCTCCTAGAGATCCTAGAGCTCCCCGCTAGAGACCCCGCTTTGAGCATCCTCGCCAGCTCCTTGAGGTCCTGGTGAGGAATCCCTGAGACTGAGACACAGCAGCTGATGTGTCCGATAGTCAGACTGGAATTTCTCCCGGGAATAACCTCAAATACCAGCACAAATCCTCCTCGTGCTCGCATGGAGCCAGGCTGCGGTCTGGGCAGCTTTCTCTTGAGCACCTTCAAGCAGAAATCTGACTTTTTGTCATTCTAACAGTGCTGAACTGAGGCTTTTTTGGCTGATTTCTGAGACAGCAGCAACATGAAACAACATCAGAGAAATAGCTTCTCACAGAAAGGCTTCGATTCCTCCAAAGTGCTTTTCCCCATTAAGCCAAGCACAGAAGCCCTGTCACATGTGGCCATACATTTCTTTAACTGGAGCCTCTGGAATATTCAACATTTCTCTCCTAATAGGCTATTAGGAAAGCTGGATCCAGCGAGCATGCTGGGGTTCTCTCTTCCTCCTCAGCAGCTCCTTACTGATTAACCTGGTCCTCAGCATCTCAGAAAACATCTCCCACATTCAGAAACTTTGTATGAACTTCAGGACACTTTTGCACATGACCAACATTTCTGGAAACCATGTGGATTCTTAGCACCACCTTTATAAGGCAAGAGGGTTAAACCCAAGGCTTGCAGCGAAACGGCAGCTCCTTGCAACATAAAATGTATTTCCCATTTGCTTTCAAATGCAAAGGTTGTCCCTCTCTGCCTGCCACAAACTCCTCCATGATGAGCCCTACAATGGCCAAAACAGGTCCTTGGGCTGCTTCTCTTGGCAAGCTTGGCCTAGCAGGCTCATCCTGGGCACGCTATGGACCGTGGCACCCAGTCAGGTTACTGGATGAGTGGGATCTCCTAGGGACCAGCTCTGCAGGATAGCTCATGTGGGAATTCCTTGAATGAGATGCGAACAAGCAGCACAGGAAAGAGGCAGGAATACTGCACGCAGAGGGAGGTTCTGCAGGCTGGACCTGCAGAGGAGCTCCTGCCTGCAGCGAGACAGGCTCTTCTGGCAGGTCAAGGCAGCCCCGTGTTGACAGCAGTTAGCGAGGCTTGGATCTCTCTGGCACGGCTGGAGCCAGGACTTGGATGCAGAGCCTCGCACCCAGCAGGGGCTGCCTGGCTACGGGCTCAGTCTCTCATACCCAGTGTGTATTTATGGGTGCAAAGTGCAGAGACTGCTCAGCCTGTGCCAGCGCCTTCCTGGCTCCCCAGGGACACGGTGACAAGCTGCTCTCCAGCTTCTCCTCCACGTTTCCCACCCTGTGCTGTTGGCTGCCCAGGGGCCGTGGCTCCAACTCAGTTATCCCCAGCCTCTCATCCCTTGCTGCTTTCTCTGCTTCACTTGCCAGTCTGAGGCCTTGTCTTCCTCCTTTGCCCTTCTTGGAGGCCTTGGGCCCATCTTTCCCATGTGAGCACCTCAGGGTGCTTGTTCCTGGGCAAGGGCTGGCCCAGRACGTGCTGCCTCTGGCTATTCCATCTGTAAAAGCACTTTACAAAAAGGTAGAGAAACACAGCAAGGCTGTGTTGCTGGTTGTCCCCAAAAGCCCAGGGCCTCTTCATTACCTAGTGACCTCCAGAAGCAGATGCACAAGCGGTGACTCRGTCAGCGATCTCCTGCGATCCAGCTCTCTTGGGTGTCCTGTTTAACGTGATGTCCATGGGCAGATTTCAGCACCAGACGCAGAGGTCATCCAGTCTCCAAACGTGTGCATGTTTGCATGGCGCAGTAACAACAGGCTTCATTTCATATCACATAAAGTGACAGACGTGACCCCGAGAGCTGCATCCATGACCCAGGCCAGAGCAGCCAGGGCAGGCACCGAAACGACGCTATCACGGGTTGCGAATTTTGAACACGGGGAAACCGTGGCAGCCCCAGTTATGTTTTTTCAGGGATGCTGAACCAAAGCGCTGGCCTTTACCCTTCTGCCACCCGCTGACATCTGCTATTGCCTTTAGGTGCGTTACTAACCACTCACGGGATTRACACCATACAATGAGGCAGATAAAATGGACCCTTGATAGCTGCAGCTGACAGGCCGTCCTGTCT